AACAAGCGGGAAAAAATTCACGCATGGGCACGAAGGTTCAAGATCGGCTCATGCAAGCGCGCTTGATTCAAATCCATCAGGTTATCGCAAAAAAAATAAGGTCCGGCCTGTGAGAAAGTATCCTCGTATAACCTAATTCTCGAGTACATATTATCAGAATTCCATATGGTGATCTTTGTGACAAGGTTCTCATCAAAACTTGGACTTAACAGCTCAAGCATCTGAGCTGCTATTGCTGAAACCATAAATCAAATTGTATGACTTTCACAATAACCAATTTTCCAAAAGAAATTTTCTTCCTATGTTTAGTAATAACAAAGATATAGAATTGATACAGTGAATACCTTGTATTTTACAAAATAGATTAAGAATAAAGGATACATTTAAATATGATAGAATCCAAATTTAGTTCAAAATTGCAATTTCACTCCCTACCTTTGCCAAAGTAATGTGAATTTCAATGTTCTTCATTATCATGAACTTTTGATTGAAGTTTTCAGTTGCGTTGACACATAATTCTAAGTCTTTACAGGTATTATGGAACTAAAAGTTCCATTACTTATGTGTTGCAGTTTAATACTGATTAGAAATATAAAAGTAACTTTTCTGAAAAAGTGCTTGTTTTTGTCTTTTAATTTGGTAAATGTTTGTGTAATATGAAAATGGAAAAATTTCAGTTAAAGACAAATGCCCATTTTTTAATTGTAAAAAATGCTATTTGTAAACCATTTTACACTTTTCTTTAATTTTAACCAGTATCCCAATCAACCTGATGAGCTTGGTAATGATGAAAGGACTTGTCAGAACTGGATATAGATATAGTGTAGTTGATGTATTATTATAAATTCTTCTTTACTTTCACTTTTAAGTTCTTAGAATAATAAATTTCAGAGACTCCTAAGCCATAATTCTAAGAAGGACAATTTTATCTACAATAACCTTGGGATTAAGTGTGTACAGTGTGTTACACAAACAGTTTTTGCTCATACAAAAATATGAAGATACCAGAGGAAAAAGTAACCAAAAGTGCTCACACCAGCTTTGAAGTTAAAAATCCAAAATCAGTAATTTATACCAACTATCTTTCCATTCCTTTCTTGTCTTCTCTTACCCTAATCCCATTAACAATTACGTTTGCATCCAGCTCTACTTTTCATTTTCAATTACCTAGTGTTCTACAGGCAGCCTCAACATTTAATGTAAAAGTGAATTTCCTTCTATTCATTGTTTTATTCAAAAGAAAATACTTTCAAGTAATATTAAAAATTGACAATAAGGTTATTGCAATTACCAAAATAGGTGTAATGATTTTAAAGACAAAAGATTAATATAAATATTAATATAAATTAATATATTAAAGTAGTAAAGTGTAAGGAAAAGTGAATATTACAGGTTTTTGTCACACTTTATTATATATTTAACTCTATTAAAGTTTAATTTTTGTTCCTTTTCATTTACAAAATAAGGTATGAAGGAACAATAATTCAGATTTGTCTTTTAATTTGACCTCTTTTTTTTCCCACTGTTGGCTATATTTCACTTTTTTCTCATTGTCTTTCCATATTTTGGGTAACCCTAGTATCCATCTACCAATATTAGACTAGTTTGTGTAAGGAGGAATAGTCTCTCTAATTAAGCACTTTAGTAGGAATAAGGAAAGACAAACAACAAGTTAGGAAGTAGAAGAGAGAATAGATAAATGAGGAATCGTAAAAGGATTTTAGTGTGAATGAACTGAGTGGATTGAGTGGGGTTAGAATGGTATTAATCGTAGGACTTACAGCTAACATTATATACATGTGCATAGTAGAGGTCCCACAGACTATATTACACGGGAAATAAGAGGCAAAAATAAGTTATTTGCTATGAGTGTCGTATACTATTGAATATAAATAGAAAACAAAAGCCACCCAGATGGTTGCTTATGATCATACTCTGTTATGCTATTTTCAATATTTGCAAATAAAGTACTAAGTACATGGTGTTTAATTTTCCTAAATTGAGCATGACTGAGTATTGTTTAGATATAGTTAATTGAGGATAACATAAAACGAGAACAAGTAACAACTAACAAAATAGACAATTGGCACAGAAAACACTGGTGATTGAGCTTAAAAGAGCAATCTTTTTTCAGTTTCTATTATTGAAAGATAAGAGCTTTCAGTTTAATAGTTGGAACACTGAATTAGCTGAAAGAGTATTGCATTATATATCTAAGTTTACTTTTAACGTTACAAATTACCAGTTAGAGCTAACATTTTAAATTAAAATAAATGTGTAATCAGAAATAAAAAATATATACTTAATATTCTTATAAAAGGGTATAAGATTAATAAGGTACAGGACAAAAGGAAGAAGATGACAGAAGAATGGATGGAAGTGGCAGAAAAAAAAAACCTAAAAATTTATGAGAGAAAAGGCAAAATATTGATTTAAGTAAAAGTTAGGGTAAGAGAGAACATGAAAAGAATAAAAAATATAATTGAGATATGGGAAGGAGAGAGATAGAAAAAGAAGGGAAAAAGAATGCCAAATTTTCCATCCATAACAATACTTTCCATTTCTTTCCTTTTTCATCTTACCTGATACCCTTATTTATATCTATACCATACTTTCCTTGTGATAGTTGTTACCTCTCTACTTCCTTCCAATGCTTTGTCTTTCTCTCTCAATTTAACATGCCCTTTGTTCTTTTTCATTGTTCTCTTTGCTCCTAGTCATTTGTATTTTTCTTACAATTATTAACCCTTCTCTACTCTCCCAAAGAATTTATTTATTTATTTACATTACTGTTTCCTTTTTAACTTTCAGACTTTTTCTTTCATTCATAATTTTTTTTCCATTACATATCTCATTTCTCCGTTTCCTAATATTTTTCCTTTCTTCCCTTTGCTCCAGTTCTTCTCTGCCTTCCAACTCATTATGTCACTTCCTTTTCCATTGTGTAACTACTATTTTCTTTTTCCCATTTCTGCTATTATTTTTTCCACATACCTATCTCTGTTTTTTTTCATTCATTTTTGTCAATTTTCAGTCTTTTAGAATTCTTTAATAGTACCCATTTCTCAGGAAGAGAATAATGTATGTTATATTCTATGAAAAGAAAAGCAGCAGTAATGTGACATGCAGCCAAAGCTTACCAGTGTGAGAATAGTAAATATTTTTCTACATGCTGAAGTAATTATGGAAACAGCCAAATAAACCCATGCACTTGTTATGTATGGAATGAAGAAAGCCATGCTGCAGAGAAATGGAAATCCAATACTTTTTAATACTTTAACTTGCCTTCTATGATTTGCTTCCTTGAAAGTCCTCTTTCTGTGTCTGGTCTAGTAACAATGAGGGGATAGAATATAAAATATTTGTCTTGAGTATAATAACCATATGAGGTGCAACAAAAGTTACACCGTGACTTCTGGAATGCAAGTGTACCACACATGATAACATTTGTTTGTAAAACGTCACACTGAGTAGATAATGCTGCGATCTTCTCACAGACTTAGAATTTTGGACATAATATGGTGTTAATTTCTGCCATTTTTGGATAAACCTCGAAAGTAATTTATTTTTGGATTTTGAGGAAGGCTAAACTAAAATTCTATTGAGAAACTTCATTTTAAATAATTTGAATAGAAGATAAGATCATAACATTGTATATAATGATAGTGTATAGTTACATATGGTGGCTCCATGGAGAATATTGTTCTTCCAAAGGTTTGATTTCAAACACGTTTTATCACATGTACAGTCTAATAACTATAATTCTATTAATTTGATTAATAAGTCTTGAAAGAATGCCAATCAAACAGTAAAAATACAGAAGACAATTTCCTGAATGTTTTGATTTATATCATGGCATGTAGTAAATTATACAGGAGTAATATAAAATCACAAAAATACTAAATAACTGTGTAGGAAATATTTTAGTGAATTATAAACAAGGAGGAAAGTACAATGCTTGTTAATCTTATTACATAGTTTCTCTTTCTGATACTAAGTCCTTAAACTTCATACTGGCATCAGCACCAGGGGGCACATGAACCATCACTTTATTTTACACAGCTTCAAACAAAAACTTGAAGTAAAACTACATTTTAATAGCAATAAAAGTAACTTAATACTCATCCTGATAATGCTTATCTCAGGCCTAAGCTTATGAATGACTAAGCTCTCCTTTATTCAGAGAGTACAAAAAAGTTACTTCTCAAACATTATGAAAGAATAGGAAAATTCCTGACAATCAAAATAATTTTAATTGTTTTATTCACACATTGTTTATTTACAGTTTTATCACACGGTTTTTAATTTTATTTTAATTGTTTTATTCACGCATTCTTTATTTACAGTTTTATCACACTGTTTCTAATCTTTATTTTAATTGTTTTATTCACACATTGTTTATTTACAGTTTTATCACACTGTTTCTAATCTTTATTTTAATTGTTTTATTCACACATTGTTTATTTACAGTTTTATCACACTGTTTCTAATTTTTATCAGTAGACTTCAGACTTTGATTAGTCAAGTATCATGACAACCAATTCATAATAATTTGGATATCAATACTTGTTTTTAGACTTAGTGTAAAAAATAAGCATGTTCTTTTAATATACATTGACAATATAACACAGTGTTCTACTTTACTTGTTCATTGCTAAGTGCAAAGCTACACAATGGGTTTTCTGGTTTATACCTACTGACAATATCAAAACCTGATTTTTATTGTTATAAGCCCTAAGGCATTTACCACTGAGCCACTTGAGGGCCTTGTGTTCTACTTTAAAAGTTCAAGTTCCCAATGTATTTTCCTGATACTCTATTGATCAATAATATCCAGTGAAATATATATATATTTAACATGGAAACAGTTAGTTATATCACAATAATGATAAGTTTTTATGTCAGCTGGTATTTTTAATAAATCCTGTTCTTTTTTTATACATACACAGAAAAAGTCTTTACATCAAGATGAACAGAGGTCACCATGGAACCACCAAGTCAATACTGTAAGTTTAAATACTAATTTAAAATAGTTGATCTTAAAATTTTCAATATTTGCAAAAGAAGAGTTAACTTACCTTCCCCCCCAAAACAGCTTTGTTGTTATGACATAGGAAGATCTCCTAAAAAGTAACAATAAAATATTTTAGAATAACCTCAATATAATGATTTTAATATTGTTTAAAAAAAGGGGGGGATGACTCAAACCTGATTATGATCTGTGAAATCAAACAGGTACATCACCTCTAGTTTACTCTAAACAAATGAAGCTTGTAAACATTATACAAAACAAATATCAATATTTTTAGAATTTTAATGAAACTTGTAACATAAATTTATAAATGATATGACAGATGTTAATATACTCGAAATAAAGAAAAGTACTATAAAAAAAGCAGTAAAACAATCCAAGCATAGTGCACACAGCCTTAAAGATATTATCAAGTCTTAAATTTAATGTAAAGTGTAGGCGACTAAGTAACAACAAAACTTTACAGTGTAAACTTCTTGTACCTGATGATGACAAAACCTTGTCGAAACGTTGTACATTTGCTGTTATGTTAAACTTATATTAAAGTTTTTCTTCATTACCCATTCAAGCCATCTCCAAGCATTATAAAACTTTAATTAGTTAGTACTTGTTAAAAATGGATTATTTTCTTTTTTTCTCCTTCCTGATTATAAATCTTTCACTTCAGAAAATTTTGAAATAACGTTTTTCTGTGACAGGCTAATGATCTGCCTAATGATCGGTTTATCAAAAAAGCATTATTTTGATGTTCTTGCACAACACTCAAAAGCTAACTAAACTTTGGCTAAAAAGTTAAATGCTAATGCTAAGAGTCAATTTGTCCCAAAATAAGTTAGAGACGATCTGAAAAATAAATGTTTAAAAAAATTCATTATCATTAGAATATCATCAACTATTCATTAAGTGGCCCATATGATAAGTTAATGAAAATCTGAATCACTAGCATTAAAACTTCAATGTAACAGCCACATTACAGTCCAATGTCTTAACAGATGCTACTGATATTTTATATCTCAACTTTTAAAGAGCCTAATTAAATTAATGAATGAAAAAACAATACATGAATAGAAAATTGGCTTGATTGTAAAAAATAAGACTTTGTGATAAGTTGAAATTTTCCTAACTAGGATGATGTGACTACAAAGGACATCTTAAATAAGATTATTTGGTTGGATGTAAATGCATGTTGAATGTATTTGTATTTCTAATATATTATGTCATGATGTCTCATGTTTTTAAAAAAAACAAATGTAATATTCCCACGAAATCCAGTTTCAAGAACTTTAAATAGGAACTTGTAAGTTTAAGTGAAACTCCAAGAGTCAAGTGTTTTGCCATATGAATAAAGATTATATTTGGACACTAGGGTTTTTTTTTCCTTTGCTGTCAATATATTCTGTTTAACTTATTCTAGGATCTGCTGTGTAATGTTGATACTTGATAGTTAACTGTTGGAAGTCAGTGCATCTTGGATACTTGATACTTAACTATTGGAAATTAGTGCACCTTGCATACTTGATATGCAACTGTTGGAAGTCAGTGCACCTTGCATACTTGATACTTAACTGTTTGAAATCAGTGCATCTTGGATACTTGATACTTAACTGTTTGAAGTCAGTGCACCTTGCATACTTGATACTTAACTGTTTGAAATCAGTGCACCTTGCATACTTGATACGCAACTGTTTGAAATCAGTGCACCTTGCATACTTGATACGCAACTGTTTGAAATCAGTGCACCTTGCATACTTGATACTTAACTGTTTGAAATCAGTGCACCTTGCATACTTGATACTTAACTGTTGGAAATCAGTGAATCTTGCATACTTGATATGCAACTGTTGGAAATCAGTGAATCTTGCATACTTGATATGCAACTGTTGGAAATCAGTGAATCTTGCATACTTGATACGCAACTGTTGGAAATCAGTGTACCTTGCATACTTGATACTTAACTGCTGGAAATCAGTGCACCTTGGATACTTGATAAGATTTCCAACAGTTAAATATCAAGTATGCAAGGTGCACTGATTTCCAGCAGTTAAGTATCAAGTATGCCAGGTGCACTGATTTCCAGCAGTTAAGTATCAAGTATCACAAGGTGCACTGATTTCCAACAGTTAAATATCAAGTATACAAGATGTTCTGATTTCTAACAGTTTAGTATCAAGTATCGAAGGTGCACTGATTTCCAACAGTTAAAAGTGCACCTTGTGATACTTGATACTAAACTGTGGGAATCAGTGAACCTGAACATATGTATTAATACTAGAAGTATTTAAACTTTAGAAGTCCAGTTTCAAATTTACCTTTGAAAAAATATTTCTTGGTTAGAGTTTACCATTCTTTTAGACTATTGTTGGATATGTAATTGAAGGTGAAAGTTCAAATTATTTGGTACTTTGTTCACTTACACATTTTTAGTGTTCTTAACAACATTCAAAACAGTGTTCATGTCAATTTCTATCCTTATAATGAGCCACTATAGATTGTTGCCCAATTCTGATTATAAAACTGTTAGTTATTGTAGTCTGTCGAATTCTGCACAAAGCTACTTAAGGGCTATCTGCACTAGCCATACCTACTTTGGAAGTACTAGATTAGAGAACACGGCTAATCAACACCACCCACTGCCAACTCATGGGCTATACTATAATAACAAACAATGGGATTTGACCATCACTCTCATAACTTACCTATGGCTCATTAATATTGCATTAACTCTAATAATTACTGCTGGAGTTTCTCTTTTGTAGTTTATAGAAAAGTAAGTAATTTCACACACTTTTTTAGACAGTTCATCACATGCAAAAATAAAATTAATATGATATAAAGCAATATATGGACCTCACCATTAAAGAACAATGTAAAAACAAATCAATTTGAGGGTTTAAATTTTGCAAAGGATGATCATGGAGTCTTATAAAGAATATCTAATAACCCTAATATCAAATAGTTATAAATTTGACTGGAGGGAGAAACAATTAAAATTGCACTTCAGGAGAGTGAATTCCTTAATGCCAGTAATTTCTATGCACAGAAAACCTGGAAACAATAGTAAAATGACAAAGTGAGTATGTAAACTGTAAAAATATAAGGTACATATCCTTCTAAATGATTTCTATATGTTATAATAAAAACTAAGTAACAAGAACAATTAAACAGACTGGATATGATGTAAAAATAACTATGAAACAAAAGGCAGCCTTACATCTTCTAAACACTAACCTCCATCCCTTTTTCTTCAGGATGTTACCAAGAATAATTTCTGCTCTGAAATAAAAAAATAAATTACAATAACCATAATGCAAAAGGCATCATATACTACTGCAAAATTTAGTATTTTTGATACTATGCATTAAATATAATTAATGACAGAAGAAATACAAGACTAGTTAATCTAACAGTGCAATAGTACTATTATATTAGATAAACAACTTATATAAATTAAAAAATGTTAACATTAATTGCTGATAGAAGAAGAGATGGGTAATATTTTGATTACTTGAACAGTTGTAATAACCAAAAACTAATTTAAATTTATTATTTTCCTTACATTAATCAATTTAATTGTAATTTTTATTAATCAGTTAGTTTACATGATAATCAATGTAATTGATGCTCATAGGTAATCAATAATGCAGTTAACCACCCAGCTCTAAATGGAAGACAAGAAACATTTACCTTTCACTCGCATACACATCTGCTGTATCAAATATATTTATTCCACTTTCATATGCTAATGTCAAAATTTCTTCTGCAACCTACAGTAAAAAATAATCACTATCTAAATGTTACTAAAGCCTTGCAGTTTTCAGGACTTATAAAAAAAATTACAAAATCAAAATACATGAACATAATAAAAGCAACAAAATATATACATAGAAAGAAATTGCAGTTAAGATTAATACTAAATCTTAAGGAAAAAAAAAATTCATAAAACAACTACTCATTTACGTATTACATATAATATTAAAACATGCACAAAATGGTATACCATGTATATTAGATCCTAAATGTTTTATTAGAATAGTTATGTATATAAATAAGAATAAATTTGCTACAAACACTTTATGTCTTTTCAAGCATCCAATACTTTTGTGTCCTGAATCTAACAGTAAATGTAAATTTTTTTTTGAGTTTACAAGTACAATATCACAAATAAAAATATACTTGTAAGTCTAATCTTTCACTCAGAGTTTACCATTTAAATACTAATAATAAACACAAAGTGAAACATGTAAAATTTGTATCTTCTTATCTATAGATTATCCATAAAACATTGCAATAACTTTTAAAGCATAATGTAATGATTGATAAAATAATTAAGTAACTTTCATAATGTGAAAATTAATTTAAAGAGCACAGATAGGATTTACCTCTTCTGAAATTTGTGAACCAAATGTCACCCATGTGCCTAGCCAAAAGTAAAATAAAATCTTTAATGTAATTACTTTAAATATAATCTCATTTTAAAAAAATCCCAAAAATCTAAAATCACCAAACACATGTAACTTAAATCAATTATGAAAAAAAAGAGACGTATACACTTTCTATTCAGGAAAACTACTAAAAAAACTAACAAATATTATAGGTTTAATGTATAAAAATTATATTTTGAAGACATTTTTTAAAATACTGCAAGGAGAAATCTTAGAAAAATATGTGTACCTACAAGGTGAATTCTAAAAGATATAATCGGTATTAAAATTTTAAGCAAATGGTATTTAAACTTAAGTGTTGTATGCTTACATATCTATTATTTTGTTGACAGATATATATATTTTATAAGTGAACCAAAACAATAGTGAAAATGTTCACAATACAGTGTATAAATTTCAAGTGATTGAAAAACTGAGAAAATAGGCTTAATATTTTTGAGGAGTTAAACATTACATTTTAGAATAA